ACGGTCTACTTCATTTGTCCTCAAGGAATGGCTGGTTAGATGTTACAAAAGATCTCATCACTAAATATCACTGTGACCCACACGAAAAAGGTGGTTTGGATTGGACTTGTCTTCATTATGCTGCAGTAGGCAATCATGTTGATGTGATGAGATATCTCATTGATGAGTGTCACTGTGATCCAATGGCTGTTGGCAGGTGGCTGGGGCGGACACCTCTTCACTGGGCTGCTTATTGTGGTAGTTCTGCAGCTGCTGAATATTTACTAGGAACTGGTAAATGTGATCCATTGGCTAAAGACAAGTATGGGGATACACCATTTACACTAGCTAAGGAGAGAGGTCGCACTGATACTCTTTCTGTCTTTAAGAAGTTTGGTGGTATAAAATCATCTCATCCAATTGATTCTTATGTTAACGTCCTCCTTGTGGGTAATCCTGGAGCTGGTAAAAGTACTCTCAGTGGCGGATCTATGGGGGGGCCAGGGGGGGCAATGCCCCCCCAAAAATTTTCTGGAGTAATATAAACTTTGGTTTACCTATGTAAACTGTGAAGCAGCTGCAGTACTGGACTATGTAAACAATCTTTAAACCACAAAGGAGCTCATTTTAGCAAATTAGTCTTCATAATTTTTACTTCCCAAAAAGTTTTGCACAAGTCTAGTTGACCACACTACCTAATTACCCCTCCCATCTCACATTGCCCCCCCCAAAAATTAAATCCTAGATCCGCCCCTGGTTAGAGGTACACAAAGTCGCCTGTTTTTGAAACACTTTATCGTTCGTAAAACACTCAAGCTTCATTGTATCAATATGCAAGTTAGCTCATTCCATAGGAGATTTCAAGCTCATTAAAATAGTTATACTTATTCGTAGCTCAAGAACAAATGAGTCTCTCAGAGGGGGAAAAAGAGTGACGCAGCTACTAACACTTGCATTGATTTACTGAACAAAAAACATTAATAAAAAGCAATTAAAGCATAAACATTGGTTAGTATTGTGTGTGAGTTTTGTTTGCATGAATTGTATTCTCTTGGAGTTATTCAAGAATAAAGCAAGAAAACACCAGTTTTAAAGATTTTTACTCCAAAATCGGTCAAAAAATCCCAACCCTCCTAGCAACAATACAAATGAATGGAGGTTTCGGTGTATAATATCTATGGTTTGCCCACGCCCACGCTTCCGTTTCCAATCCCTTTCATTTACTCTAATATCTATGATTATTGAATTGTTTTCAAAATTTTAAAAGTTCATCGAAAGTTTAGAAAAAATTAAGCCTTACTTGTGCTTTTTTGAGAGTTTTAATCGCCCTGATTTACAAATTACTAATTGAAGTTAACTAACTAGGCCTATTAATAATTAATATGTTTATTAAGTAATTAAACATATTAATGCTGTATTTGGAAGAAGTTCATAGTTTTTGTGTGCAATAGTTCATAGAAAGTTCATAGTTGAAAAAGTGGTTGCTAGAAAGTTCACAAGAGGCACCAAAAGTTTACAACCCTTAGCAGATTTTTTCACAAAATAGATTCCTTGCAAATCAAATTAATATAGTAAGTCAAAATTATTATCCTAAAAAAAACAGCTTTCTAAGGATAATTATTTTGGATATTATGGAACTAGGAAATGTACTATACAAGTGACTAATAGGAGAAAAAAAGAGTACAGATAAAGCAACAATTATTAAATAACAACAACAATGTGTCAAGTATTAAGGAAAATATCTGTGAACACAACTTAAAGAGTGCATAAAAGACTGGAAGAGTCTCTCTACAGTATAATGCCATCACTAGCAATAATAACACACTCACACATCAACTAATGAACAAAAAGAAAGAGAGAAAATAAAGCTTAATAATACTATGTGATATTCTCGTCGTGAGAATTTTATTATAACATGCATCTCCACTGTTTTAAGGCTACACTAAAGCTAAAAGTCTGCAAACTCTTTGGGGAATTTCTCGGCTGCGGCAATGCGAAGAACCTCTTCTTCGTAGTCATCAAAGTTACTCGGGTCACCAGCACCTTTAGTCTTGGGAACAAATGGGGCATCAATCTAGAAAGAAATAGTTATCATGAATGATGTATAATAGTAAGAGGGGGAAGAGGGAGAGAGAGAGAGAGGGAGAGGGAGAGAGAGAGGGGGAGGGAGAGAGGGGGGAGAAAGAGAGGGGGAGAGAGAATGTTATTGTCCATTAGTATGATATTGCTATCATCATTAAACTATCATGCATTGTTAGTTATTCATTTCTTAGTAGTACAATATAATATATTATGCATTTACCAATAGCAAATGTGTATCTACCTTGGAGAGGATGATCTCAGGAGCCAAATACTCAGGAGTACCACAAAGGGTCCAAGTCCTACCTTTAACACGCTTTGCAAAACCAAAGTCAGTTACCTTTAAAAATTAAAAATTTAGATTTCAAGATTTAAAATTAAATATTAAAAAATATACCGTATTTTACCGGTTAAACGCCTGGGCGTTTAATCGGTACAATAGCAAATTATTAGCATTTATTTGGACCAGACGTTTATACGGTAAAATACGGTAATTTACTTGTTATTTAATAGTTTGTCAATAAATTTAAAAAAATAATAATAAATTTACTTGTTTGTCATTTCACAATAATAATTATGCTAACTTTAACATAGCCATGCTGATCAATGAGAAGATTCTCAGGCTTCAAATCTCTACAAGATAAAACGGAAGAACATAAAGAAAGAGTTCACTACTTGTACTGCTAGAGTGACAATGCAATATAATGTGGTACATGTACATGCCTGTATATTCATATAAAATGAAAACAAGATGCAATTTATATTCACAAAATTAACAATGTACAGTATGATGTACAGCTGCTTTATTTCGTGGCCTTAAATTTTTATTGTTTAAACATTAGAATTAATTTACAAAATAATAATATTTTGTTAATATTCATTTGATGTTAATAAAACTTAGTAGAATTAATTTTAGTGGATTTGAGCCAGCATGAATATTAATTTCACACAAAATTAACCAGGTAAACAGTATGCCATAATAATACATAATACAGCTATCATGAATGAAGTTCCAAGAATGCAACCACATAAAACCATAAATGCTACATAAACGCCTCCAAAATCTGTTTTATAGATAATAGAACACATCATGAAGCTACATCATTATGTGCAACTCACCATGACAATCTTCTCTACTGCACATTATTAAAGTTTCAACAAGATCATATCATACAGGAATACCACTGCTGAATATGTGAATGATAGATAATATTTTAAATATACCATAGGGTGCTTTTTAGGGCTGTAAATTTTGTGGATTTCGCAACTTTTTGAAGATTTGCAAAAATTAATTCCATGAAAATCAAATTATTACAGTACAAGATGGCAGACGGCATAAATTTGCAAAAATTAAATCCGTGAATTTATGGATTTTTCGGCAAACTTGCAAAATTTACAGCCCTCAAAAAAAGGGACCCTATGGGGTCAGTGCAGGTCAGTGTATATTCCCGCCGTTTAAATTTCCAAATGTTTGAGATTTAGATATTATGGTAAATACTCAATAATCTAATGTCTAAACAATTGACATTTTGCAAGCTATGAGTAAAATAATAATTTCATAAATCCTAATAAATTTAATTTTTGTAAGTAAAATGGTGATGCCAATAACTATATGTACAAAACATTTTGTAATTTTACAATTGGTGTTTTAGGAGTAAAATTCAGTTGCATAAATATTTAGAACATTGGATTTGTGATTTTAGTTCTGAATTTGCAAATTTCCAAAGTTACATATTGTCTCATTCAAGAAAGTCAAGCATAAAATAATATTTTCAAAAATCCTAAAAATTGAATGGTTGCAATTAGAATGATAATGCCAATATGCCATAGTGCATTATATTGTGTAATTTTACAGTTAGTATTTGATGTTCAAATTTCAATAATATGAAGACTTTAAACTTTGGATTTTTAATTTTAGCTACAAAGTTCCAAAGTCCAAATTC